AGGGCGGGGTAGGGCAGAGGAAAGTATACCCTTAACACCACTCAACCTTGGGTCATTTTTACCGTACATTACTCACGTAAATGACATAAACAGCAGTATTAATAAGTGAAATACCTCTAAAGTGAAAGAACAGGTGTAATATCGAAGTACTGCTGTAACTCAAATGGCTGCAGCAACAGGAAATTGAGCTGTTTAAGTAGTGGTAGTAAACGGTATCCTTGTTTGGGTAGTTCCCAAAGAGAGAGCTAAAATTGATATTTGTATTTGTAATGTTTATATGATTTGTCTGTATTTTATTTCAAAGCCACCAGCATGTTTCTAGCACTCTCCACATGGTGATTGAGTGTCCATTACACGCTGGACACAAAGCTGCACGGAACAGTAACACAAAGAATAGTGGGAACCACTTCCTGAAGAGACTCCCTGTGAATATGTATAAAGCAGGCGAGAGCTGCAATAGAAGTATACACAGAGAAGAGTGTCTTTGCTCTGGGGAGTGTGGGAGGTAACTACTATTCCCTTTCTTTATCTCCCTCACTCTCTTCTCCCTCCTGTTATAGAAAAATCTTGATGCAGCTCATTAAATGCTTACCATGTACTTTATGTATGAGGGAGTCTCTTGCAAAGGAATAGTTTTATTCAAGTCCATTTTCTAGAGGTCTTACAATCAAATGTAACTCATTTACAGTACTTGAGTATTCTGCTGAGCCCAAGAATCTTCTTACTTGTCTTAAGAGTGTGCGTCAATGTCTGACAAGTGGTCTGACTTGTGGCCATTGCCTGGGAAAACAATCCCATTGCTTGGGAAGAATCCCCAAGGTGCTCTCTGACCTAGGCTGTCATAGTATCCAGTTGAGTTGCAAAACTGTTGGACTGAAAATTATATATAATATGACTTGGGGGAGAGTTTTTATCATTATGAACTATTTTTAATGTGAAACACGTATTATGAAATTATATCAAACACACCAACCCACCTTCCAGCTTAAAATGTTTAAAAACTCATCAGTAACATTGAAATCATTTGCCCCCACAGTCACCAGATAATCCAAATATGTCAGCTGGGGGTCATTTCCTTACACATTTGTGATATGTTCTTAAATAGTTACACTGGGGTGACTTTGTCAGTTTGGGGGTTTTGATTTTCCTTTATTTTACTCTTATGTAAGTAATATTATGATATATGTCTTGATTTTGTATTTGCCTTTAACAAATAATTTGTTCTCTTACTACTCAAGTTGACATTCCTTGCATCATATTCTGTTATTCTTTTGCACCCTCTTATATCCTGTGACCTCTTCAAAACTGCACATAAATGAATTACCTTAAATTTCAAATTCACAATCTCTATTTCTGAACTGGTGAGTTTAGTCCATTTATGTTTATTGTTATGACTTATCTGCATGGACTTCTTTTTAATATTTATTTGCACATTGTTTTCTGCTTCCTGAAGGCTGCTCCCCCTGCTGCCATCTCCCTGGAATGTTCTTTCCCCAGTGTGCAGAAGGCTTCTGATCACTCTGTGTATCAATGCACTCTCAACTTGCTTTATTATCTGTCATAGTATTTACCATGTGCCACATTATACTTTTATTTCTTTTTTAATGTCTTACCATGAAAACCCATGGAAGAAGAGACTTTGTTTTATTTATTAATTGTTCTGTCTCCAGAGCCTAAGATAGTTCCTAGCACACAATCAACACTCAAATGTAAGCAGAAAAAATATAATATTTTAGATGCTTATTAGCTATGGGTTTAGCAAACATACAACTGCATATATTAATCTTGAGTTAGTGGAGAGATTAAGCTGGAGACAAGTTTAGAAGCTACTAAGTTTCAAGGAATAGAATTTAAGATTAATTGCTATCTCTGGTCACTTCCAAACAGTTCAGCCTCAGAACACTTTTTAGCTCCCACCACCCTTCTCACTCTACCTGGTTTTATTATTCCATTGCTTAGTTCTTTGAAATTTTCTTCATAAGGCATCATTATTACATAGCCACGGTTCACTTCACTCACCTAACTACTTGTCGGTTGTTTTCTTCACCTTCCTCTCTGCATTTTAATCCTTTTCCTTCTGCTTAGAGAATGCATTTTAGATTTTTCTTAGTGAGAACCAATGATAAAAATTGCTCATTTTCTTTCTAACAAAACTTAACTTCCCCTTATCATTGAATAGTAACAGGACAGGTAGTTCCTTCCTCTCAGCACAGTGAAGTTCTTATTCCATTCTTCGCCCTTTACTTTTGCTCCTGAGATGTTTTCTGTTAGGCATTTTGTCATTTCTGTGTAAATAATTTAACTTTCTCTTTACTTTAAATATCTTGTCTTCCTTAATAGCATTTTGTAATTGCACTTTGTGATAGTATTCATTTTCAAGCCATTTGACTTTGAGGTTTTGAAGCTAAGGATTAATATTTTTCAGCAACTATAGGAAATTCTCAGCCATTAACTCTTTCAATATCAAATTTGTCAATTCTTGGTATTTTCATCTTCTGGAATTCTGACAGTCACATCACTCTCTTCTTCAAGTCCCTTAGTCACATCTTCATATTTTTCATCTCTTCATCTGAATCTACTTATTGTTATTTCTCTAGCTACCCACCCTCCAATTCATTGTTCTTCTTGAGTTCTAATAGAGTTTTTTTCAAATACACTGAGATTATTTTTTAAAAATATTTTTCTTCTCGTTGTTCATTTTTCTAATTACCTTTCATATTTATTAAAATGCTTTGTTGATTTTATATTCTAAAAATTCTAATGTCTGAGCCCATCAAAGCAAAATTGTCTTCTCTTCATTCTACTGAATCTTATTGTAGCTTAGTTACTGCTTTTTTTTTTTTAAATATACTTTAGATTTCTCTTTGGCCAAGATGTAGCTGTGAGAATTTTATGAGCCCAGAGTTAAAAGTATATTCCTACAAGAGTGTGTTCATGGCTTCCACCCTTTTCCCCAATGCACCATCAAATTAGGAAATTGCAAGGGCCACTTCTCAGCTAGGCATGCCTCAGAATGCACAAAGACAATCGTAGACTCCCAAAGCTGCATGAGAAACACAATGCAGACACAAATCTCCAGAGATGCCCACTCCTTCTTCCTGTCTCTCATGATTCCAAAAAGCTTTCTAGTTCTCTGTGGACAGGTTGTTTGGATGCTTAGATTACTTGCTCCCTCCTTTCTGGAAGGCAATACAAT